GCCTTCAGTTCTCTGCCCGCGCTCCTGCGATGCAAGACAGCTCTCGGAAGCCCCGTGATGCACCTGCCCTCATACGCCTTCGCCTCAAACAATACGGCGACGAGAGGCCGAAGCTCTACCACTGCTCTGCATCCGCGCGACACGATCCTCTTCGCGAAAACCGCGCCCTTCAACTAATCACAGCCACAAAGAGCCGCATGGAGGCCAGATGGCGGCCCTACTCAGCCTCGCATGTGGGAGCGCCGGCGTTGCATGCCAGACGTCCTTTTTCCCCCGGCGTGCCGCATGCGCCTCCTGTCGCCTCCCAAGAACACAAACAACGCACGCACGTTGTCGATGTCAGGTCGGTTGAGGGCGCGCGCGATGGCGATTAAACGAGCGGATCGGTCGAGTTGTCAGCTTACCAGAAATGAGAGTCCACGGCTCCAAGTATTGCCGCACGCAGTACTGCACTGGGTCGGTTTTCTGGTGAGGGCATTTACGCCTTGCATATCGCTTCTCAGAGAGACGGAGCGTGGTAGATAAACACAGAGTTGAAGAAGCAAAGAGAGGTAGGAGGTTGAATATTTGAATGTTGATAACGTTGAAGGGGAACGCTGGGTGCGGAGGCCTACGCAAATCGGGCGTCTATCATCCCGATTAGGAAGCTCGCCGATGACATCATTGACGACTTGGGCTCGAAAAGCGAAATTCCCCCCCTGCTGGTCCTCTTGCATCTTGACCTCGAACCACGATGTTCCCACTATGCGCTATGCTTGTCTGCTCAAAAGCCGTGTCTGCTCAGCACTCAGGACCTAGGCTCGATCTTAATTTGCCATGAACTATCCTGGCAGGTAGCTCACTTGATCTAGGTGTGTACGTGAATGCGCATCGCGATGCGAGAAGGCGTACAGTGAGTATATGCGTCGATATATGCTCCTTGCGAACTGTAATGCTGATCTGCTCGCACTGATGCTTGTGTTTTTTTCGCACCCCTTTCCTTGTGGTCTCCTGGGTGCGCCGCCATCCCATATCTTCGCCCTTGCTCTACTGACAGGGTCATTATTTACAGTTTATGGACCTCTTCTGCTGCTGCGTCGGGTATGAGCCCCTGCTGGGTACATGCCTACCGCCGTCCCTTTCTCTCATTCTTCGGATTCGCGCCATCGGTGCTCTGCTTCCCTCGCGTTCTCCCCCACTGTCTACCTTGCTACGCCGCCCTCGCTATGGCTATCTCGCGCGACTTCTGCCTTCCTTTCGTGGCTCTTGTGCACCATTGCCTAAACCTGCTCTCGACCTTCATTACTTCGCGCTGCTAAAGCTCTGCCTGCTTGCTGTTACCTTGGTGTTTGCTCTAATGCTCCTGCCACTGGCTCAGGCTCTTGCGGCTTCGGGGGCTTCTCTGTAGGGGTGATAGTGCGAGCATAACTTGACAGGTACGTCCTCAAATGGCTGTTCCACGGAGCGGACGAATGCGAAGATGAGACATGGAAGGATAAGCAAGGTACGAGCGGCTTCGCAGTCCGAGGAAGGGTGCTCGCGTCGAGTGGGTCTCGTGAGGTCACGCTCCTGTTGCGCCGTCGTGCACTCGCTCCTTAGCATAGGTGCGCGTGCCGGCGTCGCACAGCGCTTTGCGAGACCGTCGTCTGGGGGCGAAGAGAACGGGTGTACGTAGTGATATAATCCAATAATCAATTATTATCGTCAAATGTATCGGAGCATGGTCGGCGCAGCTGGAACTGATATACAGCGTGCATAACAGCTGCGAACAGTGTTGTGCACCAGTGAAAATATTGTGACCTACAATGAGTATCGGTGTTGAGAACACTGTCCCTGCACCGTCGGAAACACCTTGAAGAAATGTTGCGAAACTGTGCTCCACATCGGGAATGAGCGTGCAAAACACCTGTGAGAGGCGTAAAAATGTCTACTTGAGGTGTTTTGCACATTTATTCTCGACAGCGCACAAAAA